TGTTCACACATGTTTGGGACTCTCTGACTTCTGGCACAGTGCGACACCTGGAGGTGTTTGTTACTGAAGCACAAGGCAGCAGACACTGACCAAAAATAACCCAGCAGCCCACAGGCACCACTCCACACACTTGACTGACTGGAACCAGTTTGGGGCTCATATTTCCATATGCTGCCTTTCAGCTGACAGTTTTTTACCCTTCTGGAGACTTGGTAATGAATACTCAAAATGTGTTATTCCTGGGATTTGGGGATGTGACTCTTTAATGTCATTTAAGTCCTATAAAACCTGTAAGTACCGCAGACTTGGGGGCCGAGTAAATTCCCACAAATAGTTAGACCCAGATATGACTTCAACTATGGCTCCAAGGTCTGAGTACTTCCCGATAACTTGCTTTCAGAAATGATGCAGATCTTGAGCTTGAGGATTTTGGGGAGCCCAGGGGTTGGAACACCATGGGCAATTAGAGAAAAAGAATCAGGAAAAGAAGGGGCTTGGGATGTGGCAAGGATCTCCGCTGTAAATCCCATTGGTTTGGGGTTGTGGTGGGTCCAGGCTTCCTCCTGACACCCTCTGACAGTCGTTCCACATGGCACTGGAAAAGGCAACACGTGACGAAGAAACCAGGAGGCTTCACTCTCACGGCTGATGGAAAACTTGGCCAGTATTTATCTTCATGCTAGTGAATCTGAGAAAACAGATCTGTTTTAATATAATGTGATATTTTCCAAAGGGGTGGAAACCCATTTACTGATACTATCTCTTGGTTTTCTTGTGAGGTCATAGAGTATATTTACTCCTAAAAACAAACATAGGAGTGGATGCAGGACATAAGTGTAAAGAACCAGCTTTCAGATCATCCTGCCGGAAGCCCACAGTGAGGCCCATGCCCACAGGGAGGCAGGAGAAGGACCAAGGCAGGCACTTGCTTTCTTTTCGGTGATTGTAGCATCAGGACCACCAATGGGGCAGCATAACTGAAATGAAGTCATTGGCTATTGAATATTTAGAAAGGTGAACGACACCTTATCCCAATTGCAGCCTGGCGGAATTAGTGCATTTTTGTTTGCCTGTTTGCTTTGTGTGTGCACTTGTGGAGGTCAGAGGTCAACTTGTGGGAATCAGTTTTCCCCTTCCACAATGTGTGTCCTGGGCATAAAACTTAGAGTGTCAGGCTTAGCATGACATGTTGCTAGCCCATGATGGAATTAAAACAAGGACGGACCTTGTCTCTGTCACTTGTTAGCTGCCTGATTTTGGGCATCTTATCTGCCCATCTATCCTTCAATTTGTTCACTTTGAGATGTGGGAAATGACACCTCCAAATGTTGTTTGGAGATTTAAATAAGGAGCCACATGTGCTGAGCATTCACCCGTCCACCTTGCAGTGTTTGTTGCCCTAGAGTTCAGCAGTGAACTCGCACAGTGTCTGCGTGGAGCAAGGTTCAACAACTACAATAGCTCAGCCTATCCCAGGTCCAGTTTAATTTGAGAGTATGGCGTTTCGTGTGACTATCGGCTGGAATGGGTTGGCATTCGAGGCATGAGCCTTCTTCAAATTGTTATAGGAAGCGAGTCTTAAAGATGGCCAAAAGCTTGGGGACTCTCTCTTGGCTCCCAGGAGAGGCAAGGGGATCTCTGTGAGTTCAAGGCCAGCCTGGTCTACAGAGTTAGTTCAGAGAAACCCTGTCTCGGAAAAACAGACAAAACAAAACAAACAAACAAACAAAAACCCAACAACACATGGAGCCATTGCCCCTTAAGAGGAACTGACCTCCTGGGGGTGGGTATGACTTGCTCAGGGTCACACAGCCAGCCAGAGCCAGTCACTGAGCTTTGATACAAATCTCTGGGCCTTATCTTCATTAGCCCAGAAGAAGCTTCTTATGGTCGGTGAGCTTGGAAGCCAGACTTCCTGGACATCATGTGCAACTGAAAACAGACCCTGACTCCCCAGGAAGCTTTATCTTGATTCAAATGAAAGTGCAGATCTTCAGCCACCAGATTGTGAAGACAGAGCTTCCCAAAGAGGTTGTGGAGGGACGGGAATTGAGAAAAGACTCCATTCGAAACCATCCATCCATTCACCTTTTCATTCATTCCCCTGAAGAGTTATGTATAGGACCTTGGAATGTGCTGTGAATGATGTCAGGTGGTGGCGTCAGCTTTTCGTCTCCTTGTGTTGGTGATCTCCAGATCCGAGAACGTCTCCTGTGGATGGTCACTATGATAATCACTGGCACGGGGCAGAAGGGAGGGCACGGCCGGTATGCCCAGTCTGACCTCTTTTCCTGTTTAAGAAAGGCATGGGTGCCACCCAGGCTACGCTTCAGAGGGCTAGGGTGGGTGGGGTGTGGCGTGGTGGGCTGGCCCTGGCCTGTGAGAGCAAGTCTTGGAAACTAGGAAGCCGTGTTCGGCTGAGAGGCACTAGGCCAGCAGAGAGGTGAAAGGCATCCAATCCAAAAGAGAGAAAAGTGGTACACTTTAGGCGAGAGTCAGGGGGCCGGGGATACAGCCCTGTGGAGGGTCAGGGCTCCTCCACAGGATCCCACTGGAATTCTGCAGGGGAGCAAATGGATGGGGGCATAGGATGGGAGCTTTGGTGACAGAAGTGAGCTGGGTCCTTTAGTAAGAGTGGAAAGTGTGGGCAAGGGTTTTGACTGTCTTCTCAAAAGAAATGCGGGCCAGGGGAGTTAAGCTTAGGGGTGTTAAGGGAGCAGTGGGTCCCAGCCCGCGGTTTACCTGTATCTCAACACTGTTTCTGGTCAGGATTCACTCGTCAGAAACATTTTGGGTCTACCTATTCTCTCTCCTCACTTGCCTCATGGGGTGAGGGGAAGAGGAGACGGAACACAGTGAAAGGTCACACACTAGAACCTTGGATTCTCTGCGCACAGAGAGGAAAAGTCTTGTTAAGCCCAGCTCTTCTGCCCCAGGGGTCAATTTTCCCTCATTGAGGAGTGCAGCTACGGATGGAGAGGCCACTGAAAGCATAAGAGGCACGCGGAAGTCAGTCATAACATTTATTAAACATTCCTGGTACGTGGGTTACGAGGCAAAACACAGGAAGTCCATCCAGTGGAAATCCAGCAGCGGTCCTAGCTGGACTCATAAAAATGACATTTTGCTTAAGCAGAGAGACGACACCTGTTAAGCATACAGGGACGCATGCAACCAAACCCGAGGGCTGAAGGGCTTGCTTGTTCACCAGGAGGCCTTACCAAGGTGACTGGGGCACAAAAAGCTGAGACACAACCATCAATTCCAATGCTCCAATGTGTTCCACTGCTGCTGAAGCGATACCAGACAGTATTAGACAGCCCATGTATTTGTTCCCTTAACTTGAATTCAAGTTCAGATCAGTACTCTTGTTTAACACGAGGCAAAGAAGGTACAATCAGACCTTCCCAAAGCTCATCACAGACTCTGAAAGTTAATTCCCCCCCCAACACTCACCTCCCAGCTCTCAGTAGGTGAAAGACCCCCCAATGAGTTAAATCAGCAGAAGCATTTCACTACTGTGGATGTGGGAAATCGTGTGTTGATGTTTGTACCTGCCTTAAGATATTTCAAAATAGGGCTGGCAGATAAAATATTGGATGCCTTTTAGTGTATCAGAGGCACTCAGACTAAAAAAAAAAAAAAAAAAAAAAACTATAGCAGTGTTTCTCAACCTGTGAGTCACGACCCCTTTGTGAGTTGAATGCCTTTTCACAAGGGTCACCTAAGACCATCAGGAAAAGCATATATTTACAGCATGATTCATAACAGTAGTAAAATTAGAGTTATGAAATAGCAACAAAAATAATTTTATGGTTGGGGGTAACTGCATGAGGAACTGTTTTAAAGGGTCGCAGCATTAAGAATGTTGAGAGCCACTGCTCTGAGGTTATTCTTTAGCTGCATATCTGTATTTTTATTAACTAAATCCTGAAATCTTGTCTTTAGGCTAATATACCTCCAGACACTCCAGAGGTTCCTAATAATGGAGGGGTCCTTAATTTTTCTTCATTTATTTCCTAATATAGTCAGAGGGCCAGAGGGGATGACTCAGTCTTTATTCAGGCAGGAAAGGTATATAAGACCGACTGAGGTGTCAAAGACATTTCTATTTCTTACATCTTTTATCATAGCAACTTGAATTCTGCATTTTGACTTTGAAATGGTTGCCTGAGAGGTTGGTGACAGCCACTCCTCCAGGACTGACGTCTGAGGGAGGGATAGTCTGGATTGACCAGTCAGGTGTGATGGGCTGTTACGTGCTCAGCAGTTTCTCCTCAGTATGCTCTGTTAGGTATGGCGATCACTGTACGCACATCTTGGGTAATTCTAGAATACCGGGAGCCTTACTGTCCTTGCTATCCCCCGTTTTCCTCTTCCGGAAGGAGTTTAAGGGACCACCAAGAATGTGGGGCCTGGATCAGTGGATGGTTGTGGCCAAGTGGAAAGGATAAGAAGACCCACTTCTTGGATAATTGACAGCTCATAGCAATGGACCTTCCTTGGATTTGTTTCTTTGCATATTTGTTACTTTCTGCACGTGCATACAAACTTGCTTCTGTTGGAAAGGTTTATCCTAACTCTTTTAAGGAGACAACATTGTTCAAGTTAAAAAAAAAAAAAAAAAGGAAAGGAGGGAAGAGAAGAGACAGGGACGGACGGAAGGAGGGAAGGAGAGTGTGTTAGCAGGCTGGGTCAGTAGATGCTATCTAGAAATGTTCTTCCTTTCCTATCTCAATATGTAATTTATTTCTATTTTTAAACAGGGTTCTCAGAGTTGGGCGTTTTCAACCCTAATTTTGCAAAGAAACAAAACTTATATGAAACTCCAACTTTTATGGAAGAGCAATAACACTTGTTGAATTCCAGAATCTACTGACAATTTTTTAACACACAGAGAATGTGGCCATGTGTTTAGTTTACAAACACACACACATACACACACACACACACACACACACACACACACACACACACACACACA